GGAGATGCGGCCGTCAGAGATTTCTGTATGAAAATGGGCAACCTCCTCTGCAGCTGGTGCTCAGTGAGGGGCGGGCGGGATTCCATCCCAATCGTGGGTTCATCAAGGAATTAAAAACACCAGAAGAGAGGCAGTTGGGATTTCAGATGACCGGAGAGGTTGAAGCACAGGTGTCGGAGCATATTTGGCCGTACCTTAACCACCAGCATTTGCAAGGCATGGCCCCCATGTTTTACAATCCGCCTGGCCCAGCGGTTTGGAAATTGCCAGACTGTGAAACTTCAGTCATGACACTCATGCCCAGGCGTTAGGTCTTAGGCAGTTGAAACGACACAGAGAAGATTAGCATGGCCAGTCTCTTTTGCAAGGATGACACGCACAATCTATGTGCTTGCTTGCGGCCCAACAAGTGGCTCAAAGTGCAGAGGAAAATCTGAGGTGTGAGCACGTTGCTTGATTTTCAGATGGCAGCAGGAGCCTTGGTAAATGCCAGGGGATTTTACATGGCGTGGCTGCGGTGCCTAGTGCTACTTCTCTTGGTGGCAGCTGGTGGAATCGAGATCCATGGACGTGAGCTACAAGGCCCGCAGAGAGAAAATTCGAAATCCATGTCTGAGTTGTTGAAAACTGACTTGGATGGACAGCTGAGACTGTCAACTGGACTTAGAGGCGTTGCTGTGTTGGTCTCATACAACATGTGCATGTTGCCGGGTGTCCATAGCTTGTGGGATGAAAATTCAGTGGTGAACGTAAAACCTTGGATGGAAAGTTTTGAGCCCAATGCAGCTGTATGTGAGCTTATGCATGCAGCAACAGATAGCAGACGTGATGTCAACCTGGAAACCAAATGTGACGTTTGGAACCCAGAATGCAGTGCTGATGCAGTGAGTTTTCCATGTGACACAGCGGCAGTTGATAATCATGAACGCTGGACAAACTTTGGAAACCATTTTCAGTGCGATTCTGGCAATCACGACAATGCAGTTTTTCATGGTTGGCAAGTGCATGATGATTTCATTTTTCATAAGTGTGGTAACCATTTCCATGGCAATTGTGGCAATTTCCACAGCGTGAGCAACTTTCAGAGCAGTGCTGGCAAGTTCAACCTTTTGTGCAATTTTCAGTGTGGTTCTGGCTTGATCTACAACTATGACCATTTTCAGAGCGGTTCTGACAAGTTCAACAGTTTGAGCCTTTGGGGAGTAAACGCATTTTCAGCAGTACAATCGATGTGCAGTGCGTGTGGCATTAGCTTCTCCGGTATGACTGGTAGTGATTTGCAGTGCCAAATATTGAACTCAGTGCTGGACCGTGCAGTACAAAGAGCCATGATGGCTTCAGGTGACGCATAATTTCAATAGCTGCTCACAAGGAGTTTTGTCCATGGACATTGGTGGACGTGCAAAGCTGAGCGATGATGATTTCAACTGGACAAGGTTTGCAACTTGTCACAGGTGGTATTGAAGTTTACGAAGAAGATGAACCTGAAATTGAAGTTCCCCTTGCGTCATGGGATTGGGACGTGAATGATCAGTTGCTTGATGGTGACTATGGTCAATATGAGACTCCCAGACGAGAAGCTCAAGCGTGCATTCTTCTATGAAGATTCTGGACCGCCTGAGGTTAGTGCTGCAGAAATGGCATTTCTTGACAAGCAAGCAATGTATGCTGAGTTGGAACACCTGCGAAAACTTGCGGTGATTTGTGATGTTCTTGATGGACTTGATGTGACCCGAGCATTGCACCTGGACACCAGGTTGGTGCGCGATTGGCGTTTTCGCCAAGGAGCTTGGATTCGAAGAGGATGGTTGCAAGGGAGTTCAGAGGACTCAGTGCTTCAACAGAAGAAACTTTCAGTCCTACAACCCTTTTTGATGATGGTGAAAGTCTTGATGGTGATGAGCCTGGTCAAAGGTTTGCTCATGTCAGTGCTTTGGATGCCAGCGATGCTTGTCTTCAAGTCTTGCAACGTGAAGATGTTGTAGTATCAGTGCCCAATCGGGTGAAAGTTGCAGCGCGAGATCTCAATCTGATGTTCTGGCAGTTGCTGAAATGTTTGCCAGGGCAACGCGATGCTGCGACACGTTGGAACGAGCACCTCACAAACCTTCTTGGTGAGCTCAACTTCGGGCACATGCATGGTACCCTTTTCAGACACCGTGAAAGGGACATTTTCCTTTCAGCTCACATTGACGACCCTTTGCTGATTGCCAACAAGGAGAACACAGAGGAGATTTTCGAGAAGCTGTCAAAAATCATTGACTTTGAAGATTGATGGTCCCTATGGCGTCAATGAGCCGGGTAAGATGTTCTATCTGAAGAGACAAGTTGAGATTGGAGAAGATGGGGTTTTCATTGCACCGAATGGCAAGTACATCCCGAAATTGGCAGAACTCCTGGAGATCACCAAGGGGCGGGGGAAAGCTGTTCCCCATCATAGCGCTCTCACGGTCTTTGATGTTGAGATCACCCCCATGGAGGGGTACCTGATGGACAAGGATGCCAAGACCTTCCGATCAGCCTTGGGGATTTGCTTGTACATTGCCCAAGAGAGATTGGATATCCAACAGGCTGTTAGAGTTCTTTCAAGCTACATGGGGCGACCGACAAAGACTGCTCTTTGTCAACTTCTCTTTGTCAACTTCGAAAGCTTGGTAGCTACCTGGTGCAGACCCAGGACATGCAGATGCACTATCCAAGGGCAGAGCTTTTCTCATCAACTTTGACTAGATGGAATGGAGATTAAGAACGACGTGATGCGAAGCCCTATGAATTGGAGATTTATAGCGATAGCGATTGGGCAAGCTGCAGAATGACCCGAAGGTCAACAAGTTCTGGTTTGATTTTCCTCAATGGCTGTTGCATTCACAGCCATAGCCGTGGTCAAGCTTCAATTTCCCTTTCATCAATGGAGGCCGAGATCCTAGCGGCTACAAGTCTTTTGGTTGAAGGAATCATGGTGAAGCAATTTCTTCGGTTTTTGCTTGGTGATGAAGGTGGATTGGAAAATAGCCAACAAGTTCAGATGAGACTTTGGCTGGATAGCGCGTGAGAAAGAAATTGTTTCTTGTGGAAAGGGCGAGTACGCGTGAAAACCCTGCAGACCTCAATGCAAAACTTCGTTTTCGTGAACGACGTGAGTTCTTGATGAAGAAGATTGGATTGGTGAGTGGAAGCTTCAACAATGAGGAGATCAATGGTGGCGACCGCAACAACAAGATGAAAGCTGTGGTTCGAGCAATCACTCCAATGCTGATGACGAGCAATATTCAAGGATGCAGTGCGACGTCATGGAGGAGCTCTACGCTGGTGAATCCTTTGAGCTGGTCATCGACTACATGGTGGACTTTGGCAACATAGATGCTCATTTTGCTGGTCATCTACCTCATGGACAAGATCAAGAAGATGAACTCTGAAATGGAGAAGTACAAGGCAGTGTGGAAACCAATTAGAGAAACAATGAATCTTCGTGATCGTGCAGATCTAGATGAACAAGTTCTTCTAGATGCGAGGCAAGATCCTTGCAGTGGCGTTTGGTTGACTCGATAGAACAGTGAAAAGGAAAGTCGAGTTTCAGATGATTCAGTGGTTGACAGGCAAGAAGTTGCAGAGAGCATTGGACGCCTGAACAACACGTTGGATGTGCTAGATGAGTTGGATCGTGAAGCAACGCCGAGACCAAGGTTAAGGCGAATTCCAAATGGAGCTGGAATTGAAGAAAGTGCTCCAACTGGAGCCAGTGTGCCGCCCCCTGAAGAAGGCATTACAGTCCTGGTTGATGCAATTGCTGTTTTCGCAGATACAGCTGAAGGACATGCTCATGGAGAAGTTTCAGAAGAAGATGATGAAGCCTGGATGGAAGAAGAAGAATCTCCAAGATCGAGATGGCGTCGTTATGTGCAATCAGGTCAGGATGAAGTTTCAGAGCCTGATGAATGGGCAGATATTCATTGTGGACCTTCTACACCTATCTCTACACCAAGGAGACAAAGATCAAGGTCGAGAGAAACGCCAATGTGTACACAAAGTACGCCTATGCCAAGAGCTATGCAAAAAGTTATTGCGTATCGTCGAGATCAACGTCTAGCTGGAGAACGTGGAGAAGCTATGGTTCGACATGCAGAGTCAGAACAAGAAAGGCGAGGGGTCAGACAAACTGGTGGCAAAAGAGGCTCGAAAGGAAGTGCAAGTTCGAGCATGATGGCTACAACAGTCAGCATTGGTGCTACAGCGAACGACAATAAGAACCACTTTGCGGATTCCTACTCCATTGCCCAGTGCTTCGACATGGGCATGGTGCCACGCGATGATGCAGCCTTCGATGATTATTGTCGGGACTTGATCATGCAAGGAATGGGGCCCGAAACAATTTTGGTCCACAACTGCAGAGAGCTCAACCAGATCATTGCCGAGAGCGTGGATCCTATGGAGCGTGTGGCTATGCAACGACCTCCTACGACATCTACATGGATTGATGGTGAAGTTCCAGTCGAAGGACCCACTTCAATGGATCGATGCTGCGTTCCTACTCAAGGATTGGCTTCAAGCAGAACGAGATTGGAGCTTTTTCGATGAGGGCTCAACAGAGAATGGATCCGAGAAACGTGAAGAAGGAGAAGAAGAAAGTCATGGTGATGGGGATGATGCAATAGATCCCCAAGACCTACATCATGGAAGTCACGGCGGCCCAGGTGATGGAGAACCTGACCGTGGTGGTGATATTGCGGTGGCTGCTGGATGACTAAGTGAAATCTGAGAGAGCCAGGTACAAAGATACCAATAGGAATGAGTAGATGGGCAAGCATGTGCCCTGCGGTATCAAACAAGTACAGTACAGAGTACTGTCTGCCTAAAACCAGAGGACATTAAGGCGGGGTGGGAAATGCTACGGGCTGATCCCCGTGCACTTGTGTAGTATGTGTTCTTATCAGTGACAGCATGTAACAGCATGGATGCCACCACCTGCACAGTGGCTCAAATGTGAGAGGAAAAGGTAGCCAGCTGCGTGTCGCAGTATGATATAGGTTGAGAATATGGTTGCATCGCATGTGATGGTGGCAGCTTCACTTGCAGAGCCCTGGCGCACAGTTTGTGGAGCAAAAACTAGAAAATCATAGGCAACAACCAAAAAAAGCAAATGATCGCTTTATGCTGAATACCGCGCTGACATTTAAGCGTTGTGCCATCTATTAAAATAACAATTTTTGCGTCATTGTGCCATCGCCCATCGCCATTTCTTTTGATTTGCGCCATCCACTTTTTAAGAAGGCGTAATGATTAAAAAAACCAAGAAATAAAAAATATAGACTTGGGAATATAGACAGAGATAAAGATAGAGACGGAGAGAGATCGATGTAGAGGTACAAGTTGATACAGAATTAGAGTTGGAAATAGAGATAGAAATAGATATGTAGCTAGGTGCACAGGCAAAGGAAAAGATAGACATACTAGTAGTACTGCACAAGGCGCTGGAGGAAGTTTCAATAATAGGACACCTATTGGAGAGCTTGGTTGTTGCGAATCATGGATGGCAGAGTGACGCCACTGCTGGTTCGACAAATGGTTGGATTGTCAAGTTGCCAAGCTTTCTATCTATCCATGTCGCTTTTCCTCCATCTCTCAATCTGTCAACCTATAAATCTATCAATTTATCAATCTATCTCCATGCTATCTATCTATGCTATCTATCTATGCAATCTCTTTAAGCTATCTATCTATGCAATCTCTTTAAGCTATCCAGCTATGCTATCCATCTATGCTGTCTATGCTATCTATCTATCTATCTGTCTGTCTGTCTATCTATCTGTCTGTCTATCTATCTGTCTATCTGTCTGTTTGTCTATCTATCTATCTATTCTTTCTATCTATCTATCTATCTATCTGTCTATCTATCTATCTATCTATCTATCTATCTATCTATCTCTCGCTCTCTCTCTCTCTCTCTATCTATCTATCTATCTACCTACTATCTATCTATCTCTCTATCTATCTATCTATTTATCTATCTATCTATCTATCTATCCAGCTACCTATGCTATCTATGCTACCTATGCTATCTATGCTATCTATGCTATGTATGCTATTTGCCATCGATGCTATCGATGCTATCGATGCTATCTACGCTTTTTATGCTTTCTATCTATCTAGCTATCTATCTATCTGGCTGTCTGTCTATCTATCTATTTATCTATCTATCTATCTACCTACCTATGCTATCTATGCTATCTTTTCTGCCTATCTTTTCTGCCTATCTATCTATGCGATCGATCGATCGATCGATCGATCGATCTATCTATCTATCTATCTGTTTGTCTATCTATCTGTCTATCTAGCTGTCTATCTATCTGTATCTGTATCTGTATCTCTGTCTCTGTCTCTGTCTTTGTCTCTGTCTCTGTCTCTCTCTATCTCTCTATCTGTATCTCTATCTCTACCTATCTATCTGTCCATCTGTCTCTTGGTTTACTTATCTGACCTCCTAACCTCTTTGATGAACATGTCCCTCGTACTGCGCCTGCCACGCGAAATGCATCTTTGCAGATCCTGTTCAAACGTCCCATGCTTGCCTTCGTCTTGCAACTGCTTCGAAACACGCACGTTTGACTCACTTTTGGTAAGGTGCAGAATCCACTGCTGGCTCGCGGAACCGCATCGTAGCCTCAAAAAGCGGTCCGACACCGCCATTTTTTTTTACACTTTTGACTTCGCAATGTGCTTCACGCCACAACGCCATCCTAAAAGTGCTTTGAGCCATGTTTGACTTGAAACGTACCTCGCGCCCCAATACTCAATACGTTGCACTTCAACGTCCAAGAGTGGTCCGAACCTGTTTTTTAGTATTTTGACTTCGAAATGTGCTTCGCGCCACAACGGCGTGCAATTTTTCATTTCCCATCTGCCCAGATGGCTCCGCACCTGCCACTTTAGCGAGCCAACTTTTCGACTCTCCGGAGCCACAAATCATTGGAGAAAGGGTGTTTCGCGATTTTTTCTTTTTCGCGCACCTGCATCTTCTTTCTTCTGATTCTTTCCTTCTCTGATCTTCTTTCGTCCATGTTGTCGGAAGTTTAACTTCTAAACTTCCCCGCGTAAACATATTCCCCCTGTTGGGCTCAACTTGGTGCGAAGCTGTCGCCGACGGGGCCCAAGTTGCACCATGTTCAACATAACCTCCACATGCATCACATGGCTTCAGCCCATCTGGGTCGATGTGGGCCCAACTTCAGCTCAACATGGCCCATTGGCGCCAAAAGCGCAACTTGGGCTTACATTGGGCTGGAGCCAACTGGCCCGAGTTCGGCGCAATTTAAGTTAGGGTCGAGTTGGGTCCAAGTGGCTCCTGTTCGGCCCAGCTTAATGCCAAAGATGGCCAAATCTGAAGTACGCCTGCTCCTTTCCTCTTTGGACTCGAATACCCCAAGGAGTGTCTCACAAGAGTCTATGCCAGGAGTGGCGCAGAAGAGTGAGTTTGAAGAGCATTTTGCGAAACTATCCCGCGAGGGTATCTCACAAGAATTTCTTGCAAACTTTTACCTCAGGAGTGCCTTGAACCAGTGTTTGGCCGGTGTGGCTCACAAAAGTGTTTAACGAAACTGCCCACCAAAGAGCCCCGTGGAAATGTCTCGAGTCTCGCGCAGATTGTAGCCGAGCGGTTTTCACAGGAATGGCATAGTTTGTTCTCAACAAAATGTTTCTCTTACAATCATTATCATCATTACGCAGCATTCTTTCCAAATTGTGATGTGCATTCGGGTTCGTGGGTTCTACCAAATTTAACTTTCAATTTAAATTTCACCGCAAAGGACAATAGACACTATCCAAAACACTCCATGCCCGGCCCATGCCTGTTCTTGTTTTACGCAGCCAAAGAGGTGGCCCCCCTGCACGTGGTGATCTACATTTTCCTTCCCATAACAATACATGCGGCAAAGTTAGGTCATCAAAAACTTCAGTGAGTCACAATTTCGTTCAAAACTTGATGTTGTTGGGAATGTGGATGCGGCTTTGAATTTTATGACCATGTTGATGTGCTTCACACAAACAGAGCACGCTTCAGAGAAGGATGTGGTATGTTCGGATGTCTTGTTTTTGGGCCCTAGAGATTGTTCATTGAAATGATGAAATGTGAAGTTGTGATACCATTCCCAAAACGACATGTACATTTTATCCTCACCAAATTTCGCGTAGAATTGGAGCGGGAGAAAACTGTTTTAAGGCACGTTTATTTTGTGCATTGAATCCATCAACAGCAACAACAGTAAGGAATTTGCGGACTTGGTTCACCGATAGAAAACACATTTATTCAATTTATTCACGTTCTTGCACCTGCAGGTTTCCTGCAGCTGTTCTCTTGCGTTGCCATGGGTGAGCATGCAAAGATCAATCCTGGACCTTTCATTGAGATCCTGAACAATGTTTGTCCTGCACTCCTTGGTGCGTCCAAGGATGAAATTTCGAAGCATTTTGCGAGCCTTGAAATGATGAACAAAGTGCGGCATTTCATCGGGGATGATCAAGACACTACATTTTTTATAGCTCGAGAATTGATAGACAAAGATGAGGGAAAGAAAGAAAATGAGGAGAAGGATTCGAGGGAGCACAACATAATCACAGAAAACGAAGTGGGTTTTTGTCCACAGGCATGTGCCGTGGCCATTCTAAAGAGGAATCCTTCAACATTCCGTGCTGCCTATGAAGGCACCTTGGACGAGGGGGCAGTGCAAGTAGCTGGGAACTTTGCTTCGCATTTACAGTTCATAACGCTGGGTGCTGAATCGGAGTGGTCTCCCTTTGAACTGGTCCATTTGTACTTGCAAAACAGTTTCGTTCCATTGTTCACTGCTTTCGCAAAAAGAACGGAGGGTGCCAACAAGGCTGTTGGTGAAGATGACCGTGATGAGCAGAAGGTTGGTGTACCCAACGTTCAGCGCAAGATCATGGACCTCAGCATGGCATTGATGCAGTGCCAGCACAACGTTGAAATCGAAAATATTTCTTTGCCAATTGATCCACAGATTGCAGAGGCCTTTGAAAAGGCCAAAGCTGAAGGTAGGACCCTGTCGCTGGAAGATTTCAAAGATCAGATGAATGAATCCACATTCCAGAACCAGCTCCAGAGTGGTGTGAACAAATGGAGCAAGGAAATTCAAAGAGTAGCCAAGATGCAACGCGAATCATCCACTGGAAGCACCACACAGGAAATCAACTTTTGGCTGGGAATGGAGAAGGTCTTGAATGATGCGCAGCAGCAACTGCAGTCACCAGAGATTCAGTTGACATTGAACTTGTTGAAAGGAGCTCGGAGATTCCTTGCGACAATGTCTTTCGAAGCTGACACGGGCCTCAAACCTGCGATCGATAAAGTATCAAACTATTTGAATTTGCTGCGGGACTTTCCCATTAACGAGATGCTCGTCGCAACCACAGTGGAGCAACTGACTCAGGCAGTGAGAACCATTTTTAATCACATGAAAAGGATTCGAAACGCAGTGCAATATCCTCTGTGGAGAGCTTTTCATTTGGTGGAAGCAGTCAGCCGTGATTTGTCAGAGCGACTTCTGAAGATCATGTCCACACAGAGGTTGATGCAGCAAGATGCAGACATGTTTAGTCAGAATATGTCGCAATGTGCGGAGCTGTTTCGTGTTTGGAATGAAGAACTTGGACAGTTTCGTCAACTTGCGCGCGAACAACTCAAGAAACGCGGGAATGAACGCCCTATCGTGAAGATCAATTGTGAACATGAACTGCTACAGATTCGCATTGAAGAACTGCAAAAATTCCGAAGACATCACATGAAACTGCAGGAGATTATCGAGCGGGTACTGCTGGATGGAAAGGAAACGGCTGCCAAAGCTGAAGTCACTGCTGCATATCAGTTGGTGGAGCAGGTGGATGTTTTGGATGTAAGTCGGCGAGGTCAACAGGAATGGGAAAGCACTAAAAAGCGCTATGACAAGTGTATTGACCATGCAGAGAGCGAAATTACTGCCAGACTCCGTGACAAGTTGGGTGCAGCAAAAACTGCCACAGAAATGTTTCGTGTTTTCAGCAGATTCAATGCTTTATTTGTCCGTCCACGCATCCGTGGAGCAATTCAGGAGTATCAAACATCTTTGATCCAGCAGGTAAAGGATGATGTCCACCGCTTGCAAGAAAAGTTCAAAGGGACTTATGAAGGGACGCAGGCTTCCAAGCTGACTAGCATCAGAGGAATCCCACCAACTGCTGGCTTGATCATATGGGCCAGGCAGCTAGAGCGACGCCTTGGAATCTATATGGCTCGAGTGGAGGATGTTCTTGGCAAAGGTTGGGAGAAACATGTTGAAGGAAGTGCTCTGAAACAAGAAGGTGATGCATTTGCGAAGAAGATGAAAACAACTCACATTTTCGAAGAATGGCTTGCAGAGACCAAAGACTCTCGAAAGTTCGATGTGAGCATGCGCATCTTCGACATTCAGCAGGGCTACCAGACTTACATGCTTTTGGTGAATTTTGATGAGCAAATTATCACTCTCTTCAAAGAAGTCCGCAACTTGCAATCTTTGGGTGACTGCCGGGTGCCCTATGCAGTGAAGGTTAGCTCTGACGAAGCCAAGCAGAACTACCCCTTTGCAATGACACTGCAAGAGGCAGCCAGAACTTACATGCAAACTTGTGCGCAGATCACTCCTGCTTTGGCGCCTTTGATGGCCTCCTACCAGCAGGGTGTGCAAGACCTCATTGCAGATGGTCTCCATCTCAAGTGGGATGATCAAAAGATTGAGGGCTACACTCAAAAGCTCTCCGAAACTTAGATCTGCTGAAAGTTATTTTTGATTTTCCCATGGGTAAATCCTCTTTTGATTTTCCCATGGGTAAATCCACCATTTAGTGAATCTACCGGAACTGTTTTTGGTTTTCTGGGGGCATATATTATGCAAATCCCAGGAAAGTGTGTTCCAATTTCAGCAAAAGTTCACCCAGCTGGAGTCGATGGCAGAGCAAATGAATCGTGCCATTGAAAGCTTGGACACTTGCGATCCCAATGCCAAAGACGCCAACGTCGCGGATTCCCTGGCAGCTCGCTTTGAAAAGATGCAGAAGATGATTGATGATATGAATTTGGCAAGTTTTTCCAACATGGATGATTGGGTTGACGGGCTCAACAAACAGATTGAGCAGAGGCTTCTGAAGCTTCTGTCGGCGATAAGTGCGCAATGGCTTCACGAGTTCAAGAAGTGGCCACAAAACGGAAGTAGCTTAATCCAGGAAGCTGCTGTCAGCGCAGCAGTTCTGGAACTGCACATGCAGACTTCACAGTCTGGAATTCGCTTGGTACTTGAGCCTCAGAAAGAGTTTGCCATGACACATTGGATCAGACACTATCATGATAGCCTGGGAATGGTGTGCAATCTGCCCATGTTGCAAGTGGCCCGCTTCGACACCCTGAAGCGTGCATCACGTACAGCTTCTCGGCAGCTCATCGCGCAGGTGGATCCAAAGATTCTGCAAGAAGTCTATGATCATGTCAGCAGCACTTGTGAGAACATGCAGGAGTATGTGTCAAGTTGGATGCAGTACCAGTCCCTTTGGGAGATCAGCACTAGTGCTGTTCATGCACGCTTGGGTGATGATTTGTCAAGATGGTACAGCATGCTGACAGAGATCAACTACTTTAGCAATCGTTTTGAGGCAGCTGATCAGGATATGTACTTCGGGCCAATCGTTGTAGACTACAGCAAGGTCCAATCCAAAGTGAAAGCAAAGTATGACCAATGGCACAGGGAATTGTTGGGTGCTTTTGGTGAGAAGGTCAGCGAGACCATGAACGAGTTCTTCCATCAAGTGAACCAGGGGAGAGAGCGTTTGGAAGCTGTGGACAGCAGTGGAGACTTGACGGTGGTTTGCATGGCGGTGTTGAAGGTCAAGACAAGCGCCGAAAAATGGGAACATCAGTTTGAAGAGCTGCAAAGAGCCCAAAAGCTCCTGGTAAAGCAGAGATACCAATTTCCAGAAGATTGGATGCACATTGAGCAGATTGAAGGTGAGTGGGAGTCATTTGAGCAGATCTTAGCCCGGAGGAACCGCATCTTGGAACATGAGCTGCCAAAGCTTCGCTCAGTTCTGGTTCAGAAGGACAAGCAGCTCGAAGAGAACATCACTCAGCTCTATGCTGAATGGTCTAGTCAGAAGCCAGTGCAGGGAAGTTTGAAGCCCACGAATGCAATGCAAGTCATCAAGGATTTCGATGAGCGTTTGCAGATGCTGCGGGAACAGCACAGCCAGCTTGTTCAGCTCAAGAAGTCCTTGCAGATGGAGGTTGGCGATGTTGAGGCTCTTGCCCCATTGCAAGACGAAATGGGAAGTTTGAAGGATGTGTGGGCGGAAATCAACACCGTGCACAGCCGCGTTGAGACACTGAAAGAGACCCTGTGGACTGCAGTGGAGCCCAAACGCATAAAGACTGCCCTGGAGGATCTGCTGTCCAACATGAAACAGATGGATCGGCGGCTGCAGCAGTATGAGGCCTTTGACCATATCCAAGAGCAGTTGCAAAGCCACATCAAACTGAACCAAGTTGTGGCTGAGTTGAAAACAGATGCATTGAAAGAGCGCCATTGGAAACAAATCGTCCAAATGCTGAAATTGGCAGTTGGTTTCAATGAACTGACCCTTGGACACCTCTGGGATGCCAACCTTGAGAAACACCAGCCTGCAATCAAAGAAATTCTGGGCAGAGCTCAGGGCGAAATGGGCTTGGAACAGTTCCTGGCAGAGGTCCGAGAGAAGTGGAGCAACTACGAATTGGAACTGGTGCCATACAAAAGCAAGTGTCGTTTGATTCGATCTTGGGATGACCTCTTTAACCAATTGGATGAGCACTTGCAAAGCATCCAATCTATGAAGATGTCTCCATACTTCAAATCATTTGAAGATGAAGGTTCAACTTGGGACGATAGACTGAACAAGATCAGAATCGTATTTGACCTTTGGATGGATGTTCAGCGGCGATGGGTCTATTTGGAAGGGATCTTCGGAAGCAGTGCCGACATTCAGCAGCTCTTGCCAAATGAGTTTGCCAGATTCAAGACGATAGACTCTGAGTTTGTAGGTCTCATGAAGAAGGTGGCTGCAAAACCCAAAGTGCTGGATGCTGTGGCCATTGAAGGTGTTCAGAAACAGTTGGACAGATTGTCCGATATGCTGACAGCGGTTCAGAAGGCTTTGGGTGACTACCTTGAAAAGCAACGCTCCCAGTTTGCTCGCTTCTACTTTGTTGGCGATGAGGACCTGCTGGAGATGATCGGCAATTCAAAGGATGTGGCTGCTGTCAGTCGTCATCTTGCAAAGATGTTTGCTGGTTTGTCACAGCTTTCCACTGATCCAAGCAGCCCTGAGCTTGTCAAGGCCATGCAATCACGTGAGGGTGAGACTGTGGACTTCATCAAGTCTGTCAACATCAACGAAGATCCTTCCATTAATGGCTGGCTTTCAAAAACAGAGTCATCCATGCAGGCATCTCTTGGCGAGCACCTGAACTCGTCCATGAATGAGCTCGGCACACTTTTCACTGCTGACGGCAAGATCAGTGAGGAGGAAACCATGGTGTGGGTCTCAAAGTTCCCATGCCAGGTGTTGTTGATGGCAATATTGGCAGACTGGTGTGCAAAAGTGGAAGGGGCACTCAGCTCTGGCACAAGCGATATGCAGGTTGTCTTGGAACGAACTGTGGAGCAGCTGTCTTTTATGGCCGGAAAGGTCATCACCAATGTGAGCAATGCCGTTCGTCAGAAACTTGCCCAGATGATCACTGAAGTCGTTCATCAGCGAGACGTGTCTCGGCAATTGATCTCAGACAAAGTCTGTTCCCCAAAGGACTTCCAATGGCTCCAGCTGATGCGAATGTATTGGAACCCCAGCGAGCCCCAGATCCTGCAGCGCTTGTCCATTTGCATGGCTGATGCGGTCTTCTTCTATGGTTTTGAATACCTGGGGATTGCCGACAAGTTAGTGCAAACTCCATTGACAGACAGATGCTTCCTCACTTTGACCCAGGCACTTCATATGAGACTGGGTGCCAATCCGTTTGGCCCTGCTGGGACAGGAAAGACGGAGTCAGTGAAAGCATTGGGAAATACAATGGGGCGCTTTGTCCTTGTCTTCTGCTGTGATGAAGGGTTTGACTTTCAGGCAATGGGACGGATCTTTGTTGGCTTGTGCCAGGTAGGTGCGTGGGGCTGCTTTGATGAGTTCAATCGCTTGGAGGAACGCATCCTTTCCGCGGTTTCTGAGCAAGTCCTGACGATCCAGACAGGCAACAAGCAGAACAAGAAAGAGATTGAGATCCTGGGAAAGCAAGTTCGCTTGAATTCCAATGTGGGAATCTTCGTCACCATGAACCCAGGTTATGCTGGTCGATCCAATCTTCCAGACAATCTCAAGCAGCTTTTCCGGGCCATGGCCATGACAACACCAAACAAGACTTTGATCGCCCAAGTGAATCTCTACAATCAGGGCTTCATTTCCGCAGAACGCCTTGCCAGCAAAGTTGTGTTCCTGTTTGATCTTTGCAAAGACCAGTTGTCCTCCCAGCCTCACTACGACTTTGGTCTGCGCTCGCTCAAGGCAGTCCTTGCATGTGCTGGATCCATGAAGCGAGAGGAGGTGACGAACATTGGAGCAGAGAAGTTCGGGCAGCTCTCTGAGGATGAAGTGGCACAAAACGAGCAGAAGATTTTGCTCCGCGCGATTTTCGACACTTTGGTGCCAAAGCTGGTGGCACAGGACAAGCCTTTGATGCAAAGTCTCATCTCTGGCGTTTTCCCGGGTGCTGATGTGGGCATCGTCGACAATCAGATCCTGCAGGACGAGCTTCGGCGGCTGTGCAAGCTGCGACACCTCGAGTGCACTGAGAATTTCATGTTGAAATGTATGGAACTCTATCAGATCCAGCGCATTACACACGGGGTGATGTTGGTGGGCACCGTAGGCACAGGAAAGTCAACAGTTTGGCGAACTCTGCTTGATGCAATGGAGAAGTTGGACAACGTCAAGGGAGACGCATATGTTGTGGATCCCAAAGCTGTGTCAAAGGAGGAACTCTATGGGAAGCTGGATCCGACAACCCTGGAATGGACAGATGGAGTGTTCACGGACATTTTGCGTCGAATCCTGTCTGGTCACAGAGGTGAGAATCAGCGTCGCCAGTGGATCATGCTCGATGGAGATGTAGATCCGGAATGGGCTGAAAACCTCAACTCGGTGTTGGATGACAACAAGCTTCTGACCCTTCCAAATGGTGAGCGCCTTGCAATTCCACCGAATGTGCGAATCATGTTTGAGGTCGACACGCTAAAGTACGCTACTTTGGCAACAGTCAGTCGTTGTGGCATGGTTTGGTTTGCAAATGACGTGGTGACCGAGGAAATGATTTGCATGAATGAACTGAAGGCCATCAAGTATGGAAATCTGGAGAAGAATGAGCTGAACAATGAGGGTGAGCAAAGCCTGTCGAAGGAGCAGGCAACCAAGGTGAAGTGCATAGAGGCGCTGGAATCTTGCTTCCATCCTGGCGGTCTTGTTCTTTCAGCCTTGAAGCTCGCTTATGAGATGGAACACATCATGACTTTCACAATGATGCGGGCATTGACTGGCCTTTTCTCTATGGTTCGCAAGGGAATCAACATGGTCTTGGAATACGATGAAACGCATGAAGAGTTTCCGTTGGATGACAATGTTCTGCGGTCCTTCATGCAGAAGTATTTGGTGTTTGCTATTTGCTGGTCATTTGGTGGGGATATGTTCCTGAACAATCGCATGAAGTTTTGCGAGATGCTTGCTGGACATCTGGGGGACGTTCCAGCTCCTGACGGACTTGGAGGAGATACCACGCTGCTGGACTTTGAGGTCCGTGTGGAAGATGGGCAGTGGTATCACTGGGACAAGCGTGTTCCCACCCTGGATGTTGAGCCTGAAAAAGTCGCTGATTCCAGTCTGATCATCTCCACTGTGGATACAGTGCGACATGTGGCAGCCCTGTCATCCTGGCTGGAGGAGAGAAAGCCATTTGTTTTGAGTGGGCCCCCAGGCAGTGGCAAGACAATGACCTTGATGTCCACGATGAAATCGATGTCGCAAGATGGCAGTCTGGAGTTGGCTTCACTGAATTTCTCTGCAGGAACTTCTCCTGAACTTTTGCTGAAAACATTTGATCTGTACTGTGAGACGGTGAAAACGCCTAGTGGCTTGGTGATGCGCCCATTGCAGCTGAACCGTTGGGTGGTAGTTTTCTGTGATGAATGCAATTTGCCTGCAGAGGACAAGTATGGCACACAAAAGGTGATCATGTTCATTCGCCAAATCACTGAGCATGGCGGCTTCTACCGGCCCAGTGACAAGCAATGGGTCTCTGTGGAGCGGGTCCAGTTTCTCGGCGCCTGCAACCCGCCCACTGACCCAGGTCGTCATCCAATGTCGGATCGATTCTTGAGACATGCTCCGGTGATTTGGGTTGATTATCCCGGTCCAGACTCCCTGCGACAAATCTACGGCACTTTCAATCGAGCCATCTTGAAGCTGCAACCTCAACTGGATCGCAGTTGTGCAGATGCAATGACCAACACCATGGTTCAATTCTGGCGCGATAGCGCTGGCAGGTTCACATCAGATCAGCAGCCTCACTACTTGTACTCACCTCGTGAGTTGACACGCTGGAAAACTGCTTTATATGAATGTGTCAAAGGTTGGGATGGCATGACACAAGCCAATCTGATTCGGCTCCTTGTCCACGAGGGACTGCGAATCTTCGTTGATCGACTGGTCTTTGAGGAGGAACGGCAATGGAGTGAAGAGCTGTTAGATGAGGTTGTGCAGCGAGAGTTTGGATGCGGCGCAGATGTGCTGCAAAGGCCAATTCTTTTCAGCTGCTACTTGGATGAGCAGCATCGCTATCGAGATGAGACCCGGGAAGCTCTCCGGGACTTTGTGAAGAAACAGCTGAATGTATTCTATGAAGAAGAGCTAGATGTAAGGCTGGTGATTTTTGACTCCGTCCTGGATCACATTGTTCGCATGGACAGGGTCTTACGGCAACCTTTGGGGCACCTTCTGCTGGTGGGTGCTTCTGGCGCTGGGAAGACAGTTTTGTCCAAATTTGTGTCATGGCTAAATGGCCTCAGCGTGTACACACTGAAGATTGGCCGCAACTATGATGTCCTTGCATTTGAGGCGGATGTTCGTGTGGTCATGAAGCGTGCGGGTGTGAAGGGTGAGAAGATTACCTTCATTTTTGACGAGTCCAATGCCCTGGGCCCAGCTTTCATTGAGCGAATGAATGCGTTGCTCGCTTCAGGGGAAGTCCCTGGACTCTTCGAAGGAGATGAGTACACTGCTTTGATCCATGAATGCCGGGGAGCCAACATCACCGGGGTAGACGATGCTGAGATCTTCGCCAGGTTCACCAAGAGGGTCCAGAGAAATTTGCACATTGTCTTCACCATGAATCCTGCCAATCCAGACTTCTACAACCGTTCCAACTCTAGTCCAGCACTTTTCAATCGTTGTGTGATTGACTGGTTCGGCGATTGGCCACAAGAAGCCTTGCTTCAAGTTGCAGCGGACTTTACTGCAAGCATGCAAATTGGCGATGACACCTTCACAGGCGACACAGCAGGGCCAGGAGAAGAGAAGGACGCTTTGCGGCATGAGAAGCTGTCAGAGACCATTGTGGCCTTCCACCAGCAAGTTGATCAAACCAATGCAGATTTGAAGAAAAGTGCGCAGCGGTACAATTTCATCACTCCGAGGGATTTCCTGGACTTTATCAACCATTTCATTCGGTTATTTGATGAGAAAAGAGATGAGGTTCTGGACCAGCAGAGCCACATTGATGGAGGGTTGAAAAAGCTGAAGGAAACTGAGGATCAAGTGGCGAACCTGCAGTCCGGCCTTGCAGAGAAGGAAAAGATTCTCACCGCCAAGAACAAAGAGGCAGAGGAAATGATGTCCCAGATGGTGAAAGGACAAGGTGAAGCTGAAGAACGGAAACAAGCAAGTCAAAAACTCCAAGGCGAACTTGCTGAGCAGTCCAAAGTCATCGATGAAAGAAGAGGCGTCATTCAGAAGAAGATTGAGGAGGTGGAGCCTGCATTGGAAGCTGCAAAAAGCGCAGTGGGAGCAGTGAACAAGCAGGCCCTGGATGAACTACGATCTATGAACAAACCCCCAGAGCATGTGAAGATGGCAATGGAGGCTGTGATCCTCATGGTTCGCTCAGACATTGCTCCAGCCAACATCAACTGGGAGGTTGTCCGAAAAGTCATGCGAGATGCCAATTTTATCCCCAGCATTCTTGAGTATGATGCCGAACAGCTGAAAGACAGCACCCGTGAAACCTTGAAGAAGAAGTACCTCAAAAACACAGCGTGGGATGTCTCCAGAATCAAGCAAGCATCAAAATGTGCCGGTCCTGTGGCTCAATGGGTTGAAAGTCAGCTTCAGTTTGCAGATTTGTTGAACATGATGGAGCCAATGAGGAATGAGTTGCAGCAAATGCAGGAGCAGGCCGACAAGAACAAGGTCGAACTGGCAGCATGCGAAAAGGTCTTGGGTGAGATGGAAAGCAAGATCCAGCAGTATAAAGAGCAGTATGCTCAGCTGATCACTTCCGTCAACCAGATCAAACATCAGATGCAGCAGGTTCAGGAGAACTGCACCCGCTCCACACAGCTACTGACGGACCTATCTTCTGAGAAAGTTCGATGGCAAGGATCCTCCAAGGGGTTCCAAGAGCAGACGGCAAGCATGATTGGAGATGTGTTGATTTGTGGTGCTTTTTGCACTTACATTGGTTTCTTTGACCTGTTCATGCGACAGAGGGTGGTGGCTCTCTGGCGTGAGAGGCTGGATGACGCTGAAATCAAGCAGAAAGAGGACCTCGCTGTGATTGAATACCTGTCCAAGCCATCAGAACGGCTGCAATGGAAACAAAACGCCCTGCCGGATGATGACCTTTGCTACGAGAATGCCATTATCATGCGGCGCTTTCTGCGTTACCCTTTGATCATTGACCCATCTGGGCAGGCCATCACCTTCCTGACCAACGAATTCAAGGAGAAGAAGCTTCTGAAGACTTCATTTGTTGAAAACAGTTTCATGAAGAGCTTGGAGACTGCTCTACGTTTCGGAGCACCCTTGATCGTCATGGATGTGGACAAGGTGGACCCCATTTTGAACAATGTTCTCAACAGAGAGACTCACAAAAGTGGTCCTCGCGTTTTGATAACCCTGGGTGATCAAGACATTGATTTCAGTCCAGCCTTCGAAATGTACATGTGCACTCGGGATTCGACAGCTCAATTCACCCCAGACTTGTGCAGCAGAGTGACCTTTGTGAACTTCACTGTGACACCTTCATCTTTGCAGAGCCAGTGCATGAATGCCTTATTGAAGTCTGAAAGGCCAGATGTGGACAGGAAGAGGGAGGATCAGTTGAAGTTGCAAGGAGAGTGCAAGGTCAAGATGCGAGAACTGGAAGAGCAGCTTCTCCATGCTCTTTCCAATGTCGAAGGATCGATCTTGGAGGATGTGAAGGTGATAGCTACGCTGGAGAAGATCAAAAAGGAGTCTTCAGAGATTCAGGAGAAGCTGGGCCAGACTGACGCCATCATGCAGGAAATCAATGAGACCAGTGCACTTTACGACACCGCAGGCGAGGTAGCTGCAAACTTGTACTTCATGTTGCAGAAGATGGGTGCCATGCACACTCTCTACCGCTATAGTTTGGCTTTTTTCTTGGAAGTCTTTGAGGCATCAATCAAAACAGAACTGGCAAAAGATTTGAGCTACGAGAAGCGTTTAGAGGCCATTCTCGAGAAACTTTTCGGCAATTTGTTCCTTCGTGTGGGACCTGGGCTTCAAGAAGCAGATGTCTTGGTCTTTGGTTTGCAGTTGGCTCAGGTCAAGGCTGAAAGCGGAGCTTCCACATTTCCAAAGCCGGAAATGGATCTTCTGCTGAAAGGTGCTGCGGTGGATGTCATGAAGTCAGCAGCCGCGCCACTTGCGGAGCAATGCCGCGAGGTGTTGAAGTCCAAGCTGAACAGCCAGCAGCTTCGAGCCCTTCAGGATTTGCACTTGCTGCCATGTTTCAGTGGTTTGGTTGGAAACATCCAGGCTAAGGAATCTGAGTGGCTGCAGTTCATGGAGCACCTGGAGGCAGAACTTGCCATCCCCACTGGCTGGGAGAAGCCAGGTGAAGGGTCAGGCGAAGTAGCAAGCCTCATTCAAAAGACTTTGATCCTCAAGGCCCTGCGTCCAGATCGACTCGTTTTTATTTCTACCGCACTGGTTGAAAGTGTGCTTGGAAAGGGTTTCTTGGACCTGCCTGCCTTCAACTTGGCTGAGATCATAGCGAAGGACAGCAAAGCATCTTCCCCGATCATGATGGTCTCCGTGCCCGGCTTTGACCCCAGTGGAAAAGTCACCGAGCTGGCACAGGTGCAGAAGAAATCATTGCAGTCAGCGGCCATGGGTTCTGAAGAAGGCTTCAATGTGGCTGATAAGGCCATCAAGGCTGCATCCAATGCAGGCACTTGGGTGCTTCTGAAGAATGTTCACTTGGCCATCAACTGGCTCTCGGAATTGGAGAAGAAATTGTATGGCATGAACCCGCAGCAAAATTTCCGACTTTTCCTCACCATGGAGTTTAATCCTAGGATTCCTCCAAACCTGATTCGCTTGTCGAGGGTTTACGTCTTTGAACCACCATCTGGAGTGCGGGCATCTTTGCGCAGATCTTTTGCACAAGTGCTCCCAGCAGACCGTACCGATCGGCAACCTGTGGAACGCTGTAGGCTTCACTTCTTGCTGGCATTCCTACATGCGATAGTGCTAGAGCGACTACGCTTCTTCCCAGTCGGTTGGAGCAAGAAGTATGAGTTCAGTGATGCGGACCAAATGTGCGGCAGGGACATCATTGATTCCTGGCTGGACAGCGTGTCTAGTCATGGTCAGCTTTCCAATGTCAGCCCGGACAAGATCCCCTGGGACGCCCTTCGCTCCATTCTGAGTGAGTCAATTTATGGAGGGCGCGTTGACAATGAATTTGATCATGCGGTTCTCAAGGCCTTCATCAATCATTTGTTCCGAGCAGAATCCTTTGAAAGAGATTTCCCATTGAACATGGAATCTTCTGCAGAGCACTCCTTGCGCTCACCAGATGGCCGCAAGCGAGAGCAGTTCCTGGAGTGGATTGACAACTTGCCAGCAAAGGGTAGCCCTACTTGGGTTGGGCTGCCAGTCCATGCAGAACAAATGCTGCGCATCAACCGTGCCAATCACACGCTCCAGCGTTGGCTGCTTCTTCAGGGCAACACGGGAACATTAAAAGCAGAAAAGAAGAAAGAAGGAGAAAAAAGGAGAGCAAGTGCCCTCATCAATCCTTTGGCAGATTTGGGAGCAAAGGTCCATGAGATGCTTGAAAATCTGCCTGATTCTCTGGAGCAGCTGCAGCGATCTGAAGCATCTCTTCGAGATCCTCTGTGGCGTTGCTATGACAGAGAGGCTGGCTTTGGCAAGTCGCTCCTGAAGAAGGTCCGACAAGACTTGTCCCTTCTATCGGCAGCCTGCGAAGGCACAGCCAAGAGCACAAATGAAGTTCGTCAACTCATTCAAGACCTAACAACCGATCAGGTGCCCAAGGCATGGCAACGATTTGCAATGGCTAAGGTAACTGCCACCCAATATTTGGGTGACCTCGTCAAGAGGTTGGAACAGCTGCGAACTGTCGTTTCCTGCAGCTCTTTGCAAAAGCACCGACTTTGGTATGGCGGCCTTTTCTTTCCTGAGGCTTTTCTCACAGCTTCACGACAGGCAGTAGCACAAGAGAAGAAAGTTTCTCTGGAGGAGCTGAATCTACTGGTGCAGATTGGTGGGGATGCACCTCCTCATGATGATGCTTTCGAGATGACGGGATTACACTTGGAAGGTGCTGCCTGGGCCAATGGACAGTTGGTAGTGACCGACGAACTGTCGGTTGCACTGCCCCTACTTTGGCTGCGCTGGGTTCACATCGACTCGCCAGAGTTCAAGCAGACTGCAGACTACTTGAGAGTGCCTGTGTACCTGAACACCAGTAGAAGCTTGTTGATCACGGCCTTTTCGCTCAAGACGCCCAAAGATATTCCAAATGCAGTGTGGGTGCAAAGAAGTGTTGCAGTGACAATATGGACGAAACAGTGAGCCAAATTGAGCCTGGGACCTCAACCAATACTTTCGCAGTTCATGGGTTGAAAAGTGCAAGCCACAGTCACAGAGGGTGAGAGAGACGGAGAGTTGTCCAGTTTCTGCAGCATTTTTTGCACCTCTCCATGTTTGCAACATGGTCAGTTACTGGAATGATTTGCTTGCATGGTCGGGTTTCGCTGTGTCAGTTTTCCAGGCAGGACCGGAAAGTACTGTACCTGTGTTTTTGCCACACACTGCTCATCTGACGCTCATCGGCTGCAGCTGTTTTGGATATTCGATGGTTGGTGACGCCATGGATGCCAATATTGCGTTGGGAGCTGCTGCCTCACGCTTAGTTTGAAGCTGGGCAGATTTTGCAAGTCCAGTCCAGGCACAGCCCTAGCCTTATTAACTAGCCATGCTTTCCATGCTTTCAGACTTTGAGAATTGCAATAAGAAGATATAAGAGGTGTATGTGTATGACTATAAAATATTATAAACACCTGCCGAGGTGGCAGCTGGTGGTGTGGCAGGGTTCGCATCCAAAGGCAGTGTCCCATCCCTTGTTGCTGGCGGCATTAGTGGCCTTGGCTTGATAGCTTGCGGACGTACCTCTAACTTCAAAGCAGCTGCAGTAATATCAGCAACTTGGCACTCACTTGTCGTACAAGACATTCTTGCAGTACTTAGCATGGTATGGCATGGTCATCCCTATTTCCAACAAAAACCGAGGCAATTTTGACGCTGATCATGAGCATCAGATTTGCCAAAACAAAGAAAGTCATGCCCGCGGGCATGGTGGCAATCCTGAGCTCCGGTGGACTCATCTTCAACTTGCTGAAAATCAGGCAGTAGAATCAGTAGAACTTGAACGGGGCAAAAAATGGTTTGGCAAAGCGGTGCAAGAAAAGCACCCATTGCACACAGATCTCACTATATGCGCAGATGAAAAAGGGTCCTTGACCTTCTTGTTGGCGTGCAATGCGAGATGTCGAATGAGAAAAAAGTCGAGGTGAGCAGAAACAATTCGAAGCTGTTGGGCTTGAGCATACTGGATGAAGATTTGTTAAGTGTGGTGAAAGATTTTCAAATCCTGGAACCCAGCCCAGACTCTTGCTGTTGTCTCCTCTCATTCTGACTCTGCTCTATTTTCCGCATGTAGCTTCAATGAAGCTTCCTGGTCGAAACGTCCCCTGCTCAGAGCAAGCTTCTTCTTTGATTCCAACTGACCCTGGGAGCTTCCCAAGTACTGTTGTGTCATTTGAGGCTTGCTGGTGCCACCAGTGGGAGCTTCAGATTGCGTTTCGATGCTGGGTTCGTGATGATTTAGCGTGGTGCTGGGCTAAGGCCAAGGCAGCAATTCCCACTCAAATGGCAAACTTGTGCTAATGGGCCTCCGCCCCTGCCAGAGGCGTTTAGAATTCAATTCAATGGCATAAAAAGTACGGCAAGTCTGCAACTCTGCGACTGTGATATACTGTGATCAGGTTGCCCGTCTATCCGACCGCGTGATCCGAGTGCTTGGAAGGAACCCAAGGCACGAGCCTCACGGAAGCTTCAAGCCTTCAAGCGTGATGCTAGTTACTGCCAGCTGTTCTATGGGCGCTCCAAGCCTGGCCGAGTCCTTTTGCATTGACTGGTACAAACTTGTACCTAGCGAGAGCCTCGGTCTTGTGTTGCTCCCATTGCTTTCAAGAAGTTCAGCTGACGTGAAACTAAGATCGCAACAACATTTCAATCCTTTTCGCGGTCTGAAGGTTGGCACCGGAGAAGAACGTATTCTTGTAGATGCTGGTGAGGGGAAGCCTGGTGTTTTGGAGGCATGTCTCGAGATACTTCCACCAGCAGAGTGGATTGCCTTTAATCCTTGACGCCATTTGGATTCATTTGCAGGATTTGCTGCAGACAATGAAGCAGGAAGGCTGCAAGAGCCTTTCGCAAGTTGCCTCGGTCTCAGTGTATTTGGTGCCCTTGGCAAGTACACAGTGTATTGACAGTACTGATGTATATTGTCTGCTGCATATTTACAACTTGCGTGGTTCCGTTTCCAGGTTATCACTCATTGGCATTTCGACCACATTGGAGGAGCACCCAAGCCTGCATTGGTTCCACAATGCTTGCTCTTCTTTATGGGTTTGATTTTGGTCATTTCTTGCATCATGTCGAGTCCTCCTTCTCTTTATCTCTTTATGGTACATACACGCAGAGAGAGAGAGAGAGAGAGGAGAGAGGAGAGAGGAGAGAGGAGAGAGGAGAGAGAAGAGAGAAGAGAGAAGAGAGAAGAGAGAAGAGAGAAGAGAGA